CTTCGTCCTTCTCGTTCGCCTCTTCCTCCTTGTCCTTCTACTGCTCGCTGGGGCTCAAACCCAGGGCCTCACACGTGCTAGGCAAGAGCTACATGTGCTACGACCCCAGGTCTCAGAACTTCTCAAGGGAGCTAAGAATCGGAACAACTTCTGACTCGTTCCTAGCCCTGAAAACGATTATGGCACTGTAGATAATTATTTTTTTTCCCAGTACTGGGAATTGAACTCACGACCTTGCGCTTGCCAGGCAAGCGCTGTGCCGCTGAGCTAAATCCCCAGCCCTGTAGATAAATTTTTAAATCTTCCTTTCTCCCTGTCTTTCCCCTCTGTCCCCACCAATGGATGTCACAGGGCTGAATGTGTCTCCCTGTCCTGAATATCAGTATGTCGTAGCTCGAACCCCCGGCACCTTGCTTCACTACTGTGTTTGGAGCTAGGGCCATTAAAGAAGTAATTAAGGGAAATGAGGTCATCCGCTGAACCTTCGTGCAATATTGCAATAAGATATTGCAGGACACAATATGCAGCCTTGCACAAAAAGGAGACGATGTGAAGACACAGGGAAGAGGTGGCCACCTGCAAGCCGGGGAGAGGCTATTACGGCTTGTATCTAGGTGTCCTCAAAACCTCCTGTGGTCACAGGCGGGGGTTTTCCGAGGTGGCTGGGTCTAGGGTGTGTGCTGCTGGGATCAAGGATGTGATGCTGGGATTGACGCATGGTGTGATGCTTGGATGAAGGCTGCCCCACCTGGCTGTGAGTGCTACCTGCTGTCGGGGCGGGTAGCCTGGCTAAGATAAAAGGGGCAGAAAGAGGGTCGTTGCTTGTCGCTTGCTGCTTGCTGCCTTCTCCCTGCCCTGCTTTGCCATGAACTGTTTCTCCTCTGCCTGGGAGCCGGCTGACTACGGACTGAACCCTCTGCAACTGTGAGACCAAAACACCTTTCCTCCTTTAACTTCGGGTGTTGGGTATTTTGTTTCAGCAACATGAAAAGTAACTAAGACAGAGGCCTTGGAAGAAACAAATCATGAGGACAGACTGAATCTCAGGTATTTAGCTTTCAGGATTGTGAGAAAATAGTTTTTCATTGTTCAAGACACCCAGTTTATCGTAGTTTGTTTTGACAACCTGAGCAAACTAATATGATCAGTTTTCACATAGGTTTTACCTTCCCACCTGCTACCTACAGTCTCCTCATTCTCCTGCCCAGAGAGGATCATCTCAAATAGATTTTGCACACGCACAAGTCATGTATGTGTGTGTGTGCCTTCTGTGCTCCCGCCTTTCACACAAATGACCGTGCAGTGTGTCTGTTGCTCTGCCCTTTGCTTTTTCCATCTTACGTGACAATGATGGTGGGGATGTGAATGCCATAGATATTCCCAATCAGCGCAGGAAGAACTTTCTCATTGTCTTCTACCCTTGCATAATGGAGAATTGACTTCTGATAGTTGTAGGATTTCATGCAATATGTGGATTAGATATGGATAATATCCCATTTGTAGGGTAGGTTCGGGAAGATGTAGTTTCTTATGTTTATAACTTAGGTTGTGATAATTTTTTTTTTTTTTTTTTGAGACAGGGTCTCACTATGCAGCTCAGGCTGGCCTTGAGCTCCCTTTGTAGCCCAGGCTGGTCTCGAACTTGCAATGATCCTCCTGCCTGAGTCTCCCGAGTGCTGGGATTACAGGCGTGCACCACCATGCCCGGCAGGTTGTAATAAATGATATGGAGAAAAACATAAAGCTCAGAAGGGAGAAAATACAGTGTGTGTGGGGGGGGTAAGAAAGGGGAGGTGAGTGTGTACGTGGAATTTTAGGATGACACTCCTTTTTTTTTTTTTTTTTTTTTTTAAGACAGGGTCCTTCTATATAGTTCAGGCTGGCCTCAAACTCACAGCAATCCTCCAGCCTCAGCCTCCTGAGTGTTGGGATTACAGGTATCTGCCACAATGCCCAGCAGGATGAGATTCCTTGAAAGGATATTTTTCTTCTTCTCTCTTTCCTGCTTTCTCTTCTTTCTCTTCTCTTCTCTTCTCTTCTCTTCTCTTCTCTTCTCTTCTCTTCTCTTCTCTCTCCTCCTCTCCCTTCCCCTCCCTCCCCTCCCCTCCCCTCCCCTCCTCCTCTCTCTCTCCTCTCCTTTCTCAGTCCTGGGGATTGAAGCTGCAGAGCACCAAGTTGCATCTCAGCCCACTTTGTTGTATTTTGAGACAGGGTTTTTCTCAGTTGCCCAGGCTGATCTCAAACTTCCACCTTCCTGTCTCAGCCTCCCCAGCAGGAGGGGATTAGCAGGTGTGTGCCACCACACTCAACCAGAAAGGAAGACTTTTG